TTCCTTCCCTTCCTTCCTTCCTTCCTTCCTTCCTTCCTTCCTTCCTTCCTTCCTTCCTTTCTTCCTTTCTTTCTTTCTTTTTTGTGCAGGATCTCGTTATGCAGCTCAGACTTGTAGTGATGCTCCAGATTTCTGCCTCCCTAGTGCTGTCAGAAAGGCTCTTTCAACAAGAGAAAGTGTATGAAGATGCCTTAGTAAATCTCCCACCATATATCTATGCAAATACATAATAAAATTTATACAAACACAGATTCTGAGCCTATTATTTAATTGTTATCATTGAGTAAGATAGATTTAGACACAGGAAAAACAAATACAGAGCAAAAACAGCAAAACACACTACAGATGCATTTTAAAGTACTGAAAAACTCAGGCTTTGTAGCAACATATTGGAAGACATCTCAGATTAAGGGACAAGGTATATTCCTCAGCACCCTTTGGAAGGCAGAAAATATGGGTCTTCTTAGTGATCCTCATGCTTCCACTGAGGAGATTTCCTAGGCAAAAATATGAAAAAGTAAAAGCAAAATGTCAGCTTATCTCTAATCTCTTTTTTGTTCAGTCAATTCATGAGCACATAGCTCATTCAGGATAAACTTAAGTCAAATGTGACACATTAGTTTATTTTTTCACCCAACAGAAATGGAATGAGCACTTATTAGTTTAAAATACAGTTTGTTAGGAATTGGGCAAGTAACAGTAGATAAGTACAAGATGTTTACTTCCCTGATAAAGCTTAAATTTTAGTGAGGAAAGTAAAAGCAGAAGTGATAGGTCTGCAAATCTGCAGCAATTTATATCAATCCAGTTAAGCAAATAACTCAGTAAAGCTCGTAGCACCTGTTATGGTTTGTGTCTAGTTGTCCCTCTAAAGCCTCATGCGGTCATGAGGGATGGACTTCTAGAGTTTGTGATTACCTCATGATCCAGTGGGATTATGGGTGTGAGTACTACTCCCAGCCTGGGGCAGATAGCCTGAATGCAACTTGAGGGAGACAGACTTGCTCTCTGCAGCCATTGTTGGCCTTGCTCCTCCCATTTGCTCTTGTTCTCTGCTCTTTGCGGCCACCATGAAAGGTTACTCTCTGTCATATGCCGCACTGCCCCGGAGCCAGCTGAGTATGGACTGAAGCCTCCAGTAACTATGAGCTAAATAAACCTTACCTTCCTTCATTGTGGGTGCCGGGTATTGTCCTAGCAACGAGAGAACAGTAACTGAGACAGCATCTTTTCAACTAAACTTTTAGTTTTATCAACTTCACTTAATAATCAAGTAAAATATAGCCAGGGTGCACAAATATTCTGAGATATACAACTTAGTCCTTTCTCAGTATATTTTGTGCTGATATGGGTCTGTCATAAAAGTTGCTTTGTCTCTCTGGCCACAATTTTTGTTATTTGCTTGGCTTTCTGCTCTAAAAGAGAGCACAGTAAAGCCCTGGTATTTCTCTCCCACCCACATCTGCTCCACTCTTCCCAGTTGCAAGTGTTTACCGAGCCTCTCAGCAGCACCTGGCGCTGGTCTTATTTCTACTTATTCAGACACGTCTTTAAGAGTTCTCTGTAGGTAACTCATGCTCTAATGGCAAAAACAAACTGTATAATGAGCATACAAAACTGGTATGTGCAGGAAAATGTCTTGGATCTGAATTAGAAGTAATTATATTTGTAAAAGTGGAGGCGAAGAAGTCATTGATAGTGGCAATTAAGTATTGGAAGGAATATTCTAGTTAGCTGAAGTGGGTAGGTGCTACAAACTGTAAATGTATGTTTAGGATGTCAGGACATAAGAGAACCTGTACTATAACATCCTGTAACTCAGTTGTGTCCCAAATTTTCTGATCAAGGAGATTATGGGGCCACAGAGAAAAGTGATTGACGATGTAGAGTGTGCCTAAGGAGAGTCACATGGAGAGAAAACATTCTCTCAGGCTTTCACAGTGAGCAAACTGGTTAAGCAATGGCCATGACTCATCTACAAGGCTGACACTGACAAAGAATCTACAATCTGAGGTACAGGGTTTCAGGGTGAATCCTGAGGGGATTTGACTGACCATGTCAGATATAAAAGTTACATTTCTTGTTATATAGGTCTTGCTTTATCTAGGACTTAACCATCTAGCAGAAAAGTATAAAAACAAAGTATAAAAAGTAAAGCCATATTAATATGCTGCACTATAAAAAGCTCAAGTCAAAAACTTCTGATATTGCCAGTTGTACGGATAGCCGATTACTATTATGGACAATTGGACTATATTGTATTATTTTGCTGAATTCATGTACCCACAATATTTAAATAGCAACAGAATACCCATGTCTGACAAAACTAAACAAAAAAAGGTGATATAAATAAAGGACCATTTTGAATCTGTATACTCAAAATAGGATAGATATATAGCTACTTTCTCTTAATCCAATTAAAAGAAAGATTTGTACTAATAGTGTTTGAATAGGATGTCATATCAACATCTTGTACTATGAATAACTACTAGGAACACAATAATAAGCAATGTATTAGTTATTGTAACTGTCCTACTAACCTGTTTTGAAACTGTCTCATTGCTATTAGTTTCTCAATAAAATTAATAAAAAAGTTGGGATCTATTGACAGAGATATTGTAAATTGGTTAGATATTAGTACAGCATATATGCGTATGATAATTTCTGTCAGAAAAGGAACATGGAAGGTAATCTGTGATGCGACCTGTGATCATGTGATTTATGAGCACATGACCTGTGATCACGTGACATGTGATCATAGTAGGCTGTTGATGTAATCGTTAGATGGTGATAAAAATCAGGGCTTGAGAAATCACCAGTTTTAGTAAACATGCTGCCAAGGTGAGCATAGATTACCAAAATTGATTGGGATTGCATGTTTTGTGCCATGGACTTCCATCTTGACCCTTTGAACAAGCATTGCCTTCTGTATGACAGATGAGGCTAAAGGGAGACACCCTTCCCTGGAGATGGAGAGAAGGTCAGCATTTCCAGATATCCACCATATTTATTCTTCTATAAGGAAAGCAAAGGATACTTAATGATGCCAGATTTTTAATGACCTATTAACTCTTTGATGCCCATGTGTAGTAATAAATTTCACTCTAAACTTTCAGCAAATAGAAGTAAGAATAAAGGAGCCAGGGAGATAGCTCAGTAGAGTAAGTGCTTGCCTGGCGAGCGCAAGGGCCTGAGTTCAATCCTTGGTTCCACCAAGAAAAAAAAGCAAGGGAAAAAAGAAAAATGTGATTACATAAAAACTGTAAAGTAGGGAGTATAAGTTTGGAAACTAATACTTTGGAAAGAGCTGAAGTGAATACAAAAGCCTTAAATCTAAGGCATCCAGTTTGGTTTTGGATGTCGTCATTTAGAATACAAATTACATGTTCTGCATACCAATGTAAGTGACCTGACTGTTGATTTTAATTTTTTGAATGTTTTTCTTGAAATTTCTTTTAAGGAACAAAAATGTGAAAATAACCAGTTACATAAGGTGAAGAGGCAATTTATTTTAGGTCAGACTCTATAGCCACTCCCCTAATTTCTGCTGCACAACAGAAAACTACTAGGAAAGAATGTTAAAAATGACTTCTGACTTCTTTCCAAATTATAGAGTAACAGGGTAGCTCCCCTGAGCTAAGAGGGATGAAAGGGCACTCTGTCTTCTCTGAAAACATATCTGCCATGGGCGTACTACTCCTAGCCCATCGCATGCCCATTGCTGACTTTTGAGAGGCTTCTTCCTCCTAAGACAGAGGGGTTGACAGGAAGATGAGCTTAGCCCTTTCCCTGAGACTTGTGCTCCATGGTGGGGACTTGGAAAGACAAGAGGGAGACAGGACTTGGTGATTTCTCCTTAGTGGATGCCTGCACCTACAGAATGAGTACTGCATGCTAACTGACTGCGCCACTGGGACTCCATGGATGCCTGCAACTACAGCAGAGTTGGATGCCTAACCAGCAGAAAAAGTACCTTTTTACTGTAATGGATTCTTCTCTTGTCTCTTGGGTTTGAGGCATAGGAATCTCTGAGTACAGTGTCCATTTCATGTATGTGCTCTTCGATAGCTGTGGTCACTTCCCTGGGAACCAACCGTAAGGCACTGACATCACCAAATACCTGAAAAGGAGTGACAAGATGAGTCATCCCAATTCACCATATTTCAAAGAAATATCTAAGTGGATTAACCAAAAATTGGGTTTTGTTGTTGTAGTTGTTTTGTTTTGTTTTTGTGTTTGTGTTTTGCACTTTGGAAATTCCACCAAAGTACCACAGTATTTCCCTAATTCTGCAGTTTCCTAGAAAAAATTGGCATTCTCTTTTACTTTTAGTAAGTTCTGTTTGCTGAAGTATATAGAAAACAAAAACTTGGGGAGCACATGAAGTACCACATTCCCTTTGGTAGGAACTCACCGTTCCCAGGGAAGCTTCTGTATATAAGAGGCCATCTACCCTGCAGTTCATCTTGCAGTCATGCCAGCAGCCTGTTCCATTTGTCACACACAGTTGGGGTTGGCTCCTGCCCTGTTTGTAATAACCACCAATTCCTCCAACTTCCTGTGTCTCTCCTACATCTTGAAGGTCTCTAACATTCCCAAGAATGCTGCAGAAGGCTTGCTTTCCCCCAGAGCTTAGGACCTCTTGACCTGAAAGCCATCCATCTGAGAAAGGCAGGGAACTACTCCTTCATATAAATTGGCAAATTGAATGCCTTTTCTAGATACCAAAGAGGACATCTGCTTGTCAAACAAGCTCTTCTTTGGTTCCGCAACCCATTTCCTCTTTCTAAAACTAGTCTCGCTTCTCATGAACCTATAAGTTGTAGAGCTACCCTGTCACAAAGCCTCTATCCATGGTGGGCAAATGGAGAAAAAGCTACTGAGTGAAAACCAGGGAAGAAAAAAATCTGGCTCTAACTTGGTGAGAAACAGGAATTAAAAAATCTAGAATGATGCTAGCATAGGAAGAAAACACTTTCAAGAAGGAAGCCAGTGCAGAAGATAGAGCAAGGAGACTTTATCACATCATCTGACATTCTGAATTGAGCCATACTATCATAATAGCTATCACAATTCCAATTTATTCAGACTAATAAATATCATTCATGATTAAGAAAACAGGCTAGGGGTTTGGTGTGTAACGCTGAATTGCACTGAGAATGTGAACACCCACAGACTCCATAGTTTTCCTGTTCTGTTGAGTCTCTCCTGCTGGGTCTTCTCAAAGTCTGGGAGATGTAGGCCTTTGTTTTCACTTTCTTCCTTATTATTCTCCAATCTCTTACATTTATAATACATTCTATTTCTTCTATGTCTTTGTTCATGAGTTTTTAAGGTCTAGGTTTGGCAAAAACTGTCAGAATGAGTTTTTTTTTTTTTTTTTTTTTTTTTTTT